TATATATATATATATATATATATACACATCAGCATTTAATTGGTTAAACCAAAAAAGTTTTTACAAAATAGAACAACTTAATTTCCCTAACAACATATGTGCAAACAACAAATAACGGCACCCAAAACCTCTGACACTATCTGCCACCATCCACTCACTGCAATTGCTCATATATTAAATATTCAATGGTTACTTGAAAATTCTCCTCCTAAACCGCTGAAACTAAACATTGTCCAAAAAATAACCACCAATGCACCAAAATACAAAAATTAAACACTTCTAACGGTCACCATTGCGTTCTTCACAATCCCGCTCCCACTACTAAATTCATCCGATGAACGAAGTATTCCGGTAAACCCTCAGCGCTCTTTCTGTGGGCCTAAAAGCCATCAAGAACTGCCCACCTGTAAACCGATGTTCAAATGACTACTTCATGAAAATTTTATTTACATAACTGTTCCTTGCACAACACAGCAACAAAACTTCCATATCTTCACCCCCACTCTCATTTACAAACATTTGTCATAAAAGACAAAAAGTCCATTCAATCTCCATCAGTCCTTTTCTAGAATGCAAAGAATCCATGCCTCAAAAAGCAAATGAGACCAATTCAGTTGACAGTTAATATGCTAAAAATGCCCCATAAAGGTCACTTTTGGTACAACAAACTCTGCCTTTAGCTTAAGAATTCAACCAGGAAGATAACTCTAGAGAAGATCAAAGTGATATATTAACAACTTCTGGCAAAATGCATCCCCATCTCCATTAAACAATACACAAACAAAATTCAGTTTTAAAAAATGGAGATGAGTTAACTACCCGAATGTAGAAAGTGACTCAACTGAAAGATATTCAAATTCCCAGTTGAACCTTTTCCTTTTGCTTTTTAACAAGAGACTACACTTTGGGATATTTATGCACGACCGCTGATTCCTATGAAGAATAACTGCGCTTATTCGACGAATCTAGTCCCTCACAATACAACTACTTTTTCTTAAAAGTTATTTGTAAAGCCAAGGAGCTTCAGATGAGTCACTTATTGAGAAAAAAGCATCACCGATTCAGAAATCAAACCACATAGCAAAACAAAGACAAATCGGATAATGAACACTAAAAACAAGTATTAAGAGTGTATTAAAATAATTTACACTCAAGAAACCATTAGACGAGGCGCTATTGACATCGACATTAACTCTTGAAACAATAATTTACACGCATAAGGAATACGTACTGCAGAAACTTGCGTTTTATTGCGGCAAGCCTGAAAAATCAAAAAACTAATCAAAATCCAAATTCAACTGTACTGGCAAAAAAAGGTGCTACACCTACATGAACTGCTCGGAAAAGCTAGTAATTACGGCTAATATCAGCAAAAAAATACCAGCAATTTATAAACAAGAAAACTTAAACAATTTACCTTGCATTCAAACGAGTTCGTTCGAAGATTAGCAATAACAATAAGCCCGCAATTATTACAAACGTATACATGGTAAGGATCCGAAACTTCAAACAGGCGCTCACGTAAAAATTGCGCCGCACCATGGGATATTTGACAGTCACGTTCCATTTCACCAAATCGTAAACCGCCATCCCTGTAAAAGAATTATTAAAACAAATCTTTGCGTACTGAAACCAGCATGACAAACCAAGAAATAAATCGTTTTATACCTAGCTCTACCCTCCATAGGCTGTCGGTTCATCATCTGAACAGGACCTCGTGCACGAGAATGAATTTTATCGTCAACCATATGCTTTAGCCGCTGATAATAAGTTGGTCCCAAAAACACCTACGAAACAGGAAATTGATATCAAAAAAATGAAAAAACAAAGAAAACACCAACCTGTGTAGTCAACTTCCTTCCAGTATGCCCATTATACATAACCTCATTCCCTCTTAAATGATAACCATATTCTTGTAATAAGTTGCTGATCTTTTGTACGTTAACAGTATCATTAAAAGGCGTTGCATCACCAATTTCTCCTTTATTAGCAGAGAGCTGCAAAAAAAGTCAAGAAAAAAGCTTGAAAGCTGGACACTGTAAAAAAAACCTGAACCGTCAGGATGAGTTATCTTCTTGGTTTTTACCAACCTTCCCTTGTAAGCATTCGATTAAATGGCCAATTGTCATACGAGACGGAACTGCGTGAGGGTTGATAATAATATCTGGAGTGATTCCCTCGTTGGTAAATGGCATATCCTCCTTAAAAAATCAATTATGAGATGCAGAAAGAAAAAGTAAAACTGCCTCACCATACTTGACCTATCTCCAATGAACAACTTATAATTTACTCAAATTTCTTTACAGGATAAACTACCTGTCTGTACATCATACCCATTGTACCCTTCTGGCCATGTCTCGACGCAAACTTGTCGCCAATTTGTGGCAGTCGAACTGATCTAACACGAATTTTGACAAATTTATTGCCATCAGTATTCAAAGTAAGCATAACCTTAAGAAAGTTTTCAGTTATTTTCAAGGCAAAAGAAGCTCTATAAAGAAAAAAATGCGGCTTTGAAAGAATATGTGGTGATAAAAGATTTATGTACCTGATCAACAATTCCGGTTTCGCTGCTTCTCAAAAATGTACTTGCGTCGCGTTTCGTGTATTTCTTGGCGTTTGCGTCCAGGTCATCCTCCTCAAAAAAACTCGAACTAAATATCTCTCATCGGCATACCCAAAAAGTGATGACGGAGGTAACACTGCCCATTATAAAGTGTCTGTCATGAGAAAAAAGCTTACAACATCAGGTAATGATATAGTTTTCCCTATAATTACATCGTCACCAGAAACACGCATCCCTGGAGAGATAATGCCATCATCGTCTAACTTGTCATAAAGAGAATGGCGCATCCCCGAGCATTTTTCCCTGAAGCCATCAGTACACTTAGTAGTGATAAAAAAAGAACAATAAAAGAAAATTAATTTACTGACCTAGTTGGTTTCTCAATAAGCTCTTCATTTGCATTATCTAAGTTTGCTTCCTGATCTCTGTATGAACGATAAAAGACCTAAAAGTAGCAAGATAGAAGAATCCATGATTCTAATTTCAGGTACATCAAAAACCAACCGATCTAAATAAACCCCTATCAATCCCAGACGAATTCATAATGACTGAATCTTCCTGATTGTAGCCCGTGTAAGTCAAGATGGCTACGACAGCATTAATTCCAGCAGGAAGCTCGTTAAACCTGTATTTTTGAAAATGTTAAAAACATATGAAAAAGATCTAAGACAACAATAAAAGGCAATGTAAACCTAAGATACTCCATAGACCGCGTTGTGACTAAAGGCTTCTGAGGATAATACAAGACATGAGCCAGTGTATCCATTCGGACGTGGAAGTTGGTGGTGTAAACGCCCATAGCCTGTTTACCCATAGCACTCTGGAAAAATTGAAGAAACCGTGGAACAATTTCACATCAAGGTAATTAATGATAAGAAGTAGTTGACTTAGCGATTACTTGATATGTATTCCTAGGACTCTGGTTGTGGTCAGGAAAAGGAATAATAGAGGCACAGACTCCCAATATCATAGCTGGATGAATCTCGCAATGAGTGTAAGAATCACAGTACCCACCAGACTTCAAATCTTCAGGAGTCATGACCAACATAACGGTCTCTACAAAACAAAGTTATCGTGTGCAAATTTAAAAAAACAAAAACATTTTATTTCAAAACCAGTGTTCGCAACTCTTATCCTTCTTTTAAAAAAAATTTATTATAATCTCAGAATACTTTGTTGCGTTGCTTCAAAAAAGAAATATCTCAGATAAATTAAAACTTCCATACCTTCTTCCATAGCGTCAATTAATTCAACAACACCTCCAGCCACAAGGTCAGACCAGGAATAATTGATTGCAGGATCTTTCAACTGATCAATGTGTTTCTTTTTCAAAGCCAAGTTCTGATGTTCATCGACAATAAGAAGCGGGCGACAGACGCGCCCAGCGTCAGTATAAATTCGAATTTCCCTATCACGAATATCACGAACCATCGACACCTTGAAACAATAACAGCAGGGAAAAAAACAATAGAGAAAGTTTGTAAATACTAAATTTACTTCCGAAACGATGATATCCATCTCTCTCCGGAGTTTTTTTAATGTAGCCATAAGCTGTTCCGGTTCTCGATGAATCCCTACCCAGGCACCATTGACAAATATTTTTGTTGCATCAGCAATAGCAGATGGTGCGACTTCTGAAAATACCACAGTCTTCTACTTGAATATCTTCCTATAACTTCTCAAAAATCATTTGAAAAGGACTGCAAAAACCTTCTAAATTTTCCATCGACCATTCTTCCAAGAACTCAAGAATTGGTTCAGGCATACTACCAACAGATATGTAAGCCATAAGTGCAAGGTTCTTCACTAATCCCACTGCCTGTCCTTCTGGTGTTTCAGCAGGGCAAACCATACCCCACTGTGTATTATGCAATTGCCTTGGCTTGGCTAACTTACCCTCACGACCAATTGGAGAGTTGCATCTTCGAAGATGAGAAAGTGTAGCAGTATACGTTAGCCTATTTAAGACCTAAACATGAAATAAAAAACTATCCTCTACAAAAAAAAAAAAAAAACTAAAGACTAGCAAGTAATTACCTGGCTCACTCCGGCTCTCGACTGATGAGCTTTTTTCTGATCACCCCAATTACCAGTTGCCAACGAATATGCAAGGCCTCTAGTGATAGTTGAGGTTTTGACACATACATCCAAATTAAAGTCGCCATTTTTGTTTATGTACTTTTGAGCAGTCAACCGCACCTGCACAAACATAACTTGACCACACCTTAAGATCTGAGTTCACATCAAATAACCTCTTCAAAACCACTTTCGAATACCTCTTTCAATAAATTCCTGAATAAAGCCCTAAATAAAAAAGCAAGAAGTGGTCCGGCAAGATCTAGACGTTTGTTCCCGATGTGGTCCCTGTCATCCAATTCTCGACGGCCCAAAGCAGCTAAGAGTAATCGGTGTACCATGTAACCAATGAAATACTAAAAAATTATGGTTTTCCAACTGAATCTGGGCTTTCTATTTAAAATTACAAGGACTTACAGCTTTTTTAGTTTCGCAAAAATCTGATATCCCAACATGAGGCAGCATCTCTTTTTGAAGAATCTCGCGCGCATACTTTATACGCTGCTCCTTGGTTACTCCTGGTTTCGCACCACGTGCACCGATAAAATTCAAAGCCACGTTTTGCTCCTGATAAATGCAAAAATGTCGTAAATTTAAAAGTGATCAATTTCAGCAAAACTCTTCCTTACTTGTATAACAAAGGCTTCGTCGAGGCTGGGCTTAACCATCTCCATCATTTCTGGATCTTCAAAATCATATATTATATGTTCCAAAATGTCATGATCTGATACGAACCCTAAGGCACGAAAAACAATCATAACAGGGATTTCCTAAAATTTAGTACGAGATAAAACTTCCTGAAATCTGACAAAAGACATTAGAAAATTTATCAAAGAACCGGAACACTCACTTGCTTAATGTAAGGAAGGATTGCAATGATCTTCTGGCCCATCGCAGTCTTCTTACCGCCACCACCACCTCTGGCTAACATATTCACCCAAATTGTTGAAGTGGGACGACTAAAAAGGTAGGTATTTCAGACACTTTTTTAAACAGAAGCCTAAAATGTATAACTGATCAAAAAAAACTTCAATTTAAACCTGGAATTTTCTAAGCAAGATCTACATTCAGCTTTATAAGCGTATTTGCTATCCTTCATTGAAAACACATACACAGTATTTGTTGCCATTTTTTCTTGCGCGATCAAAACCTAAAACACCTTATGAAACCCCAGCAAAGTCCCAAGTACAGTAGCTAAGGCAATCAATATCATACTTTTTCAGAGCCGTTAATTATAAAATAGCCTCCTGGATCTAGTGGACACTCATTAAGTTCCGTCAAATCACGGTCAGACATATTCGAAAGCATACAATACGATGACCTACAAATTAAAAATTTTAATTAAGAAGCCAAGAGACGTAAAATTGAAGCAACGTTCGAACAAAATTTTTTTCACTAACTTACTTACCTTAGCATTATTGGTATTTTCCCCACAAAGACCTTTTCATATTTCATATCACGAGGTTCTTCCCCTTCACGAGACATTGTCTTCGTAATATCGACGTACAAAGGGGAGGAATAAGTTAGGTTTCTTAATCTCGCCTAAAAAACTGCATTTTCCTACTAGCAGGAGACTGTTCATACTCTCATATTTAAACTATCTAAAAACTGTAAACATTTTACTGATACCACAAAAAAACTAATTCATTTTAAAACTTTTTTCGCTTCTGAAGCAAGCAGCAGTTCTAAAAACATTTGCTTTCAAAATGTTCAACAGATAAATTTACTCCTGCTGAACCATTACAATCCTCAGAACTGTTGCAAACACTTATTAATAAACACTGAATCTAGCTTAAGCTGATAAAATATAGGCAATGATAAAATAAATGAAGAGCACCTCATTAGGCATCATGGGAGTTGGAGCGCCATCTTTTTCCCAGTGGGTTGGTTTTGAAAGATAAATTTGGTCGAATTTTAAAGAGAACTTTGTAGGATTTTCAGCATCACCTAGGCAGACATATGAAATTACAACGTTTTATGATTACAGCACTAACACCAAGAAGCTGTAAACGAATACAATAAAACTCTAAAGACAAAAGAGACATGTTCAGTAACCTGAAAAATGTTGAACTTCTGACTGCAACTCTACAGGCGGTGAGTCCTCCACAATTCGTTGAACGTTCATTTGAATAAATTCGTCAAAGCTATCAAGCTGTTGACGTACCAAACCCTTTTCATCAAAATATGCAGATATAACTACCCAGCAAGCTTCCTAAAATCAGAAAAATTGATTCAGAAAAAATGACATAAAACAGTGAATGCTTAAAAGCAACAATAGGCTACCTGCCACTGATCACTTGAAATTTCACCATCATCGTCAAATGGCATATCTTCAACGTCATCTTCATCGCCCATCATTTTGCTGGATAGTTTTTTACCTATGAAGCAAAAAATTGTTCAAATAGTTTCTCGACAGAAAAACAAAACAGTGAAACCGATGAAATCCGTACTCTCACGAAAAAAAATTCAACTGTTGCTGCGAAAAAGTAACAGTTATACTCGAGACTTCGCGTAGCAGCAATGTACTAGAGAACTCACTTATAATTTATGCGAATGTCCTGCTAAACAAAGTTTATAAGGTGCGATTGACTGAAATAAAATCTCTTCCCTCTTTAAAATAAATTCATTACTCCGATAATAATATAAGTTAAATAAATAGGTAATAAATGTTAAATAATGAAAAATGATGAAGAACGAGAGTTCAAAAATAAGCCTTATAAAAAAATGATCGAACACTAATTTATTATAATTAGTTACCACCGAGCCTTCAAATTCTTCTAGAACAGAAAAAAAGCTAAGATCCGAACAAAACTTCAAATACTCTTCAAATTTTCCAGCATTTCTACTCTCAATTTTCCTTTGAGAATGAAAGTTGTTCAGGAGGGAAATGACCAGGATGAATGACTAATAAAGAAAAAAATTTTCACGCAAAACCTTATAAATAAAACCTTGCAACGAAAGCAGTAGAAAGGCTAAGTGGCAGGTACCCCTCAAATTCTGCCTGCTGCCGACATAGCTGTCTCTTGCAATCAGCAAAGCTTCATTAAAACTGTCCCCTTGTTCAGACTCAAATTCAGCTCAACTTACTCCTTTCCTAAACTTTTTTTTCCTAAAGCTTACACATCATATGACTTAGCATTTTTTCAACCTTTCGTACCTCAGCCACCCTGAAATTTTTTTTCAAAACTTTAGAAATTATTGTTCCCCACTCCGGATTTTCATCGTAAACATCTCCTTCAAGAACTCCTGTCAAAAGTAAAGGTCACTCAGTCACAAAATAATGGCTTTTGAGCAACGTACTCGTCAAGACTGCTCTTATCCAACCGGGAGAACTTTATTTGTTGTCACCCGGATCAAAAATAAAAAAAAAAAAAGGAAAAAAAAGCAAAAAAAAATGTAAACGCAATCCCCTATCGACGACCAAAATAAATTACAGACAAAGTGAAACACAACGCAGACTGTCTCATTCTTACTATTTTTCACTAATATGAAGTGGAGGACGTTTATTTTTGCTGTATATTATAGACACGCACACGGAACTCTTTAAAATGCAAGAAATTAAACTCCTGAAATCTGTTTCTCAATATCTCAACAACCATCTGAAACAGGTGACTAAAGCACTGCTGCCGATCCATCTAAAGATCGAGCACACAAAACTGTTTTCATCTGTTTTTCAACGTTTAAAATTCGAAAATTCGATTCTCTTCAGTAACGCCTCTCCATTGATTGTTGTCACTACAGCGGTATTTCAACGAAAATCCCAAGAAATAGTGCTGCAACGACCGGTGCCTATGGATGACACTCAGATTTTGACAACTGCTTCCATTTTTATTCTTCACGACTTCTTAGGGCTTTCTGCAGAGCGTGCAGTGAGATTGCTAGAAGGAGAAGACTGGAAGACAATGACAAAGATGTGTGAAGTTGGAGGTATAGAATAAGCGTTGGAAGCAGTATTTTGTGTTTTTTCTTTACTGTTTCTTTTTGTATATCATGTTACATACTTCAGCTAATGCATTCTGCACAGCAGAACCTACAGTCATTTGAATTTTTTTGCCATTTGCCATCCTTTATCGCATTAACGCGAGATATTCAAATTGTGTGGCGTTCCTGCGGGTAAACATTCTTACCCTCCAGTATTATGCTTTTTACTGATGACTTACCACCACTTTTTGTGTGTGCAGCTTTTGGCTTCGCCAGATTTGTCTGTGATAATTTCTAATTTTTCTATACACTTCTCCTAAACATTTTAATGACATAGTTTTAAAGTTTTGTTTTGAGAAATATCGCAGTGTACAATGCCGATTCGTTAGTAGTACCCAGCTAATGGATAATGACTGTGATTTTGAACTGTACAGTGTTGAATTTAATCGCTGTGAATTACTCCTTGCCGTTCTTTAAAATTTTTTATACTATACGTTACCATAGTTCGATCGCTTTTGTAATGCACAAAAAAACGATGGGCAGGAAATTTCTGTCCAGAAGTTATCTTAAAGATCGTCTCGACAAGCGTACGAGCACGTTTGTGGAGAAGCCTTTTCCAGAAACCGCTTTGGTTAACTTGTGAGTTACTGAATTTTGCCTATTCAACTAAGATGCACTGATTTTGTGGATATTTTTGGCCAGATCAGCAAATGGTCATATAACGTAAAGGCAGAGTATTTGTTCAGAGGATGAATTTGAACTTCTCGAGTTCCTAAGAATGCAAGTACAAATTGCAGTTATTACATAGCAAACTACCGGCAAGGCAGCGTTGCAGAACGTTATAACATTAAAAAAGAAACTTCAACAGAAGAATGTGTAAGTTAGGAAGTGCACAGACAAGTTTGTAGTTACCGCAGACAGATCCGGCTGGATCAAGAATCTCCCGTACAAGGAATGAAAGTAGGTTAAAAGTAGAAAAAAATTTTCAAAACTTAGAAGATTAGCATGCCTAATGCAACAGCACCTTTAGTAAGCAAATATATTTTGCTGGTGGTTTTATGCCATTGCTTTCGGACCTCCTTGATACAGTTTATTTCACTGTGTGGTTTTACGTTTTTAGTTGATGAGGGCATACTTTGAAAGGAGTGAAAATGACTTTTCCGTTGCAAGGTACTCGGCGACAGTTAGTACCCCTTAGTAGATTGAATAACCGTTTGGACAACCATACTATCGAATTTTCTTATTTGATAACGTAGGCAGAACAAGTATTGTTGAATTTTCGAAAGCATAAGGATGCAACTTGTTCAAAAAAAAAAAAACCGAGTAAAAAGCAAAATTTTTTGCTTAAGCCTTCCCCTTGTCCCTTCTATCTTTCAATCTTCCTCCCTTAATATTCCGAAAAAGTTCTTTTCTATAAATTTATTCTTATCACCTGCAGACAAAAAGACAATCGGCCGAGGATTTTTCAATCACGGTTCTATGAGTACGGTCTAAAATCAAATTTTATTTGCACATATATATTTATATAAATAAACAGTACTACTTTACTGTTTTCAAGAATTCAAGATTTGAAAATTTAAAAGAATGGCCCGTATAAAGAAGTAGGTGCAATTTCTTGTCTCGCTGATTTTGGCTATTCTGCCAGCAGAGCAAGAAAAGAAGTTGACCATAAAGAAGTGAAAGTTGCGGTTTAAATTAGTCATAAGAGATGAAGGTAAAGGAAAAATGACTGAATTCTAGGCATTGAAAAGTTCTAATGACTCTTCTAATTTTGATACATTTCCTTACTTTTTACAAACAGCTGTTGTCAACATCTGATGCATAACTAACAGTCAGCAAATTTTAGCAAACAAGCAAAGGGACACTAAAAAGAACTAAATTACTATAGAGCAAATTGTAGAATTAGACATTGAAGCATAGTGCCATAAGTTCCCCTTGCGTTTTCAAGTATCCTCCTCATTTCTTTCGCTGCAAACTTCAACAACAAAGGTAAAGATTCCTCCCAAAACCAGATATATTTCATTTTGATGCAAGAGAAATAATGGACACAGAGATTCTTACAGGTAAAACGTGTAGTGTTTAATCAGAAAGGACTAAAAGTCAAACTACGTCTTACAAGCCATCGATCGCCCTTATTATTCGGTGTGGAAGACCATAAGGCACCTTTGAAAAAAATTTCTTCGGATGGTTTTACTTTAATCACTCTTGAGTTTGTATTACTGTTTGAATTTTGGTGTCCGGAAAGTTCAGTCAACTGCCGGGGAACATCAGGACAACGATGAAATTGGATTTGCTGACTGTCCCATTTTGGAGAGTATTTTATCGAGCCACTAAAAAAAAGTATCTGTTGTTCACTCAAAACTGAGATGCAAGTAAGAAAAACTGGTAAATTTTATAAGCTTTTCCCTATAAGTTTTGATGCCTAAACGCAAAATATATGAAGTTACAAGTTCGATAAAATGGAATTACTGGAAATCAAAAAGAAAATTTCTTTAAAACCTTTAAAGGAGCATGAAGATGAATTTCAGTCCAGCAAGGGGTAGATGTAACATCTTGTCTGTGATATTCTGACCCCCATCCTTTCACAAATGACATGCGTATAATTGTCATCTTTGTCAATTCGTAAACGGAATCAAACGAATGTGGCTCCTTCATGGCCTTATCGAGTTGCTAAAAATGAGGTTTCTGTAATGTTTGTAACGAAGCATTTCAGCTACATTCAAACCTTTTAAACTGTAGTAGTAAAGAGTAACCAACCCTCATACCTAGAAAAAAAGATACCAAGTCGGAAATAAAAAATAAGATTACGTCTATTAACCTTTTTAAATGTCAAAAGGTCAAAGATCTTCAACGACATTCCATTAGTTATTTTGCACACTGTTGAGGGGTGAAACCCGTTAAAACAATTACAGTTTAATGATTGAATGAAAACAGCATTATCACTAAGACACTCAGCAAAAAGCACTCCTTGTATCGGCACATACGTTAATTTGACTCCTGCAAATGAACATTTAGAACTTGATAAAGTAAGAACAGCCAATATCTGCGCAACCAAAAATTTACAAAAACTAGGAAGAACGCTAAGCTACCTCGGCCGCAAAGATTCAAGAAACTAAACGAAATGTACATGACGAGAAACAGGACAAACGACCAACTTTTCTTTTTGTCAAAGAATAAACATGGTTTAAAAAAAGTACGGATGCTACATTCTCAAAAATGCTTTACTTTTGACGTACTTGGAGAATTTCACAGCTAAACAAATATCCAACAAGTTTTGACTATAAATACAAAAATGAAGCGAGACGAACCTTTGCCTATATAACCGCGCGTTGTTTGGATTTGAGGGTTACGGTTAACGTTTTCAAGGACCCCAAGACAAATCTGATTTGTGTTGCTTGTTGGATCTGTAAATCCATTGATTTCAACCGTTGGTGATGATACTTTAAATGGTTCTCCCACCCTTGTGTTCAATTCAAAATACGTTATGGTTGCCCACTGCTCTTGTTCTTCATAAGAAACCTAAAATTGAAAAAAGCAGTTACCTCTTCACAGTGTCACGGTAATAGCCTGGAAGTATGACTCTTTCTTCCAAATCATTATATCTGAAACATTTAAGAACTTACTGGTACCGTTGGCACTCTTGTAGCAAGCAGCGGTCCTCCAGTATCCATCTCTTCACCCTTAAAATTGGCTTTGCATGGCTACCTTTAAACATATCAAAAAACTTGGACAGCAAATAAGAACAAACCTTCCCATACCCATAACTGCTGTAGGGAGAACCATAAACTATATTTGAAGGCGGATTATCTAAAGAAAATGAAGGCATTGGCACATTCATCGAAGTTACATAACGCGGATCCTGGACTGGAGGATGTTCGGAGTATCGTGGGACTAATACTGGTGGTAAAATACCGGCGTTTTCAACGCGCTTGTAGTGGTACGGATTTATACAAACATCTTTTTGTCCAGATTCATAACAGTATTTACATTCATCAATTGCTTTTAACTCATGGTGAGATTGCAGATCTGGCCATCGATATACTCGACAGTATATGACATGAGGAAGCGCTTTACGATGAGAGATCTGTAAACGAAACCAAATGCTTTCCTATGTTGAAACTGCATGCAGTTTAATAAACACAATATTTTAAACAGGTAGAAAGATACCGAGTAAACGCCTCAAGCATTTAAAAGTTAAAGCATCAATAAACTTTCATCAATAAATAAAAGTCCTACATTAAGCAAAGACTAATGGAAATGGCAGTCTTGTAGACATATCAGTAACACTATTCAAGACTAACCTGCAGACGGCCATCTAAAGAGCGTGGAATTGTAACACACTCAGTAGGTTGCTTGCCTTCAGCTTGCAAAGCCAGCTCTAAATTTCCAAGTGCTTCCTTATTGTGCTTTTGTAATTTTTTCATTAAGCTTTCAATCGCTTTCTTCGACCATGTTTCTTCCTCATCGCCTAAAACGCCAAAAAACAAAGAATTTAACTTGAAATCTAAGTCTTGCTTACTAGCAGAGTATCTGAAAAATTACTATGTTTCTGAAGTTGTATTATCAAAAATTGTGACAACTTTCAGAAAATTATCAGAGTTTTGTAACAGTCAAAAGCAGTCAATATGCTATCGGCAAACAGTAAAAAAATCATGATAAGAAGCAGATTTCAGTGCTCAATAGAGGGGCGAGATTCACTTTTTTCTGATATATTAACGTCCCCTTCGCAAAAAATCTAAAAAGAAAAAAGTGAAGGAACTCTTAAAAGGATCTTTCGTACGATGAAATTTGGTAAATTATGCCTCTGTTACAAGACTTGAACATAAAAACGCATATTTAACCTATGAAACTACCTTTGAATAAAACGCCTAATAAATACACAACCAATGAAGTTATTTGTTAAAACCTTAATTGTATAAGCTTCTAATGACCAGTAAATTCTATTAATGTTTCCTTTACAAAAAACTTAAAATTTCATTATTAAACTCAGAAAGTAATGCAACATTTCATCAGTGTCTCTAAAGGCTACTTCAGCATTGACAAGAAGTCGAGTGACCGCAGAAGTTTAGACTGCATTCTACTCAACACCATAAAAATTCTCGCACAGTAACGCTCAACAGATAACACTTCCATCCAAATGCTCAGAAGAAAGACGAAGACTACGCGAAATAGAGGAATAAATGGAGAATAAAAAAGAAGCTTGAAGATGTCGTCAAGACCGCCAACTAATTGTCCTTCCCAATCAAAGAAGATGTAATAAAGATTAAAAAATTATTAGCTCCCTAGTTTTCTTACTAAACGCAAATTTTGACAGAAAGAAAAAACTACCTTGCTTCCAGCCAAGTCGTTTTGCGACAGCAGTTCCGTGTTGTCCAAGTAGATTTTCAAATTTCATTACCACTTTTTTCGACTTGACACCTGTTTCTGATCCTTTTCCCACCAAGTACAACAAAAATTCTCTTGTGCAAAGTAACAGTCGTTCAATAAATGACTAAGCGTAACTGTACACTGAATCAACTGACTTTTTATTTCAGATACCTG